GTCTTAAGGTAAAGGACAAATAAAAAAAGAAAAAGAAAACGAGGAGAAAAACAGAAAATCGTTTCAAATAAAATTAAGCTTAGTTTAAAGTTATTGTAAGTTTGTTGCTAATTATTAATTAACTTAAAATGAGTTAGTAAAAGGGTTTTTAATATATTTATTAGAAGTATGAAACGATTAAATGGTTTATCGATGGTGCTAATGCTAATGGTCTTGAAAAGCTGCACCCTTTTCATCGGCTAACCAACAATGTTTCATTGCTAGTACTACATTTATTACTACTATTATTTACTAATTTACTCTTCGATGCTTGATGTTCCAAATAGAGCCTTTTGTTGTAATCGGATTTCGACAATTTTTCATTATCCAAAGGAAAATCTAATGTAATATTTGTTATAAATCACACCCGCAAATATGTTCATTGTGTTAATTAAAATTGTATATATACTCAAGGCTATAACTGGAAGATCATTTTTCCTTTTCAAACACTCAACCAAGGAGTGCACCGTACATTGTATCCTCTATTCTCTTCGATAAATATTTTACTACTATCCTCTGCGTTATTACAATCTACTATCTTCTGCGAATAAATAATTTCCTCCTGAACCGAACCAAGAATACCTTCTCAGAATATTCGTCTGTGCCAATGAACAAATCCTTCCAAATCAAACTATTTTATTTATCAATTTTTCCTACACAATTTGTATAAATTTATTAGAATACCTTTTTCCTTTTTCGTTTCTTTTTTCTCCTTTTTTTTATATCGATCAATGGAAAATTTGGCGTTTTTTGTATGCGTATTAATATTAGGCTTTACCTGTTTGAAATGTTAGAAGAGAATTGGAAAGTAAATATCCTACTAGGAAAAATTAATTCAAGATTAGAGAAGAAGCCTTTAGTAATTAACAAAATGAGCCACCATTCCTTGCCTTGATAGCTATTTAGATTGACAAGAAATTTTATTAAAGTTGAATCATGGACGCCTGAGTCAATTTTGGAAAATTTTGCATATGTCGATATGTCAAGGTTAATTAGTAGGATTCAATAATAGTTAATGCTTCAGAGGAATTGCAAGAATTTATTAATAAAATATTAATGTAAGCTAGACTTACACCAAGCTTGCAAGAGTGCCAGAATAGTCAAGCGAAGGTTTCAAATGTTACATTATAGAAGTAGCACTATTGAAATTTCGATCAATCGCTATATATATTCTTATAAAAAGTAATGTACCTTGAAGGATGCATCATAAATGATTTAAACTGTTGAAGATAGTGCTAAATTTCAAAAAAGGGAAATAAAAACGAATTCAGAAAAAAAAAAGTGACAGAAGTAGACGGATATATTCAAGTTGAAAACCGATCGAATTACTTTTCACATTGTTCCTGATCATTTCATAAATCGGTATTATCATAGCTTCTGTTATTCTTTTCTTTAAATAATCTGTAGGAAGATTTGTGTAATTATGCGAAATGTTACTAAATGAATAATAATGTTGGTAAATTTTGATCCGGAATGCACGATTGCATTCCGGACATTGGATTAATGGTTTATTTAATCCACTTGTCGAAAAGGACTTCTTTTTGAACTGATGAGTTGATCAATTTAGGTGTCAAAGTATCTATTTTTAAATTTTATGTAACAAATTATTTACTTGAGAAGTTTACGAATTCTGATTAAAACCACTCATAACACTTTTTTTCGATTTTGCCGACAGAAGCTGGTGGGTATGTTTGGGATATTTGAAAAAGCATGATCTATATTGGGTTTAGTGTGGTACAAAACTATTATCAAATCAAATTAATTATTATCCGATTAATCGGGCGGAATGGCTCATATAGCTCTAACCGACAACAATCCAGAATGACAAATTAATTCCTTGATAACGGATTCAGTAATGACATCAGGTTTGTATAAGCAAGATTTAAAAGCAATTCTTTATCATTATAACAGACAAATTACTTCATCAAAGCATTTATCAAAACTGGTTAAAGATATTTTTGATATTTCCGAAATTTCGCCAAGGAGTGCAAGCATTCGTCGGAGTAGTCAAAGCTCCAATGGAAAATTTTTTATATATTCTTTTCATATAAAATCCTTAGATAATTCTCCCAAGATAAAAAGAAAGTTAAATTTTAAACCAAAATTTTTTTTTT